CTCTGTTATTGGAGATTTTTAAGAGGAAGTTAGACAAACACTTGTCAGGAATTATGTAAATTATATTTAGCTCTGCCATGAACGCAGGGGACTGGACTAGATGACCTCCCGAGGTTCCTTCCAGTTTGACAATGCTATCATAATTCTATGAAATTTTGGATTCATGTGATTCTCAAAGATGAAAATATGATGGCAACAAAAATATATTTAAGCAAAATCCTGACTATCCCACCGCCAAATTTCACATACCTATAGTCACTGCAGCAATTGCTTGTCCTCTATTTCTTTGCTAATCTATTGAAACTTTTAGCTTATTCAATCCATTTCCCATTGAATATTACTCACCTGCTGCTTGTGCATTGATGGTTCTTCCTCTAGCATTCTTTAGCATTCTTATTTTTGATGTATTTCTGCTAGTCACGTCTTTCATGTGAATAAGCTTTAAAAATACTCCCTTCGCTGCAGTAGCTCTCCTAATTAGTCTTAGCCTTTCAGGTTTAATTATTTCCTCCAATGGGAAAACCCATGGGAAGAGAATTTGCTCAGAAACCCTCCGGGAGTGTGACTTTCTAAGGCCAAAATCTGTCCTTCATAATCAATCACACAAAACCCCTGATCTCTGTGGGGTGAAATGGGTGTAACTCTGGACAGAATTTAGCTCAAGTGTACAATAAATCCTCTGCTGTAAAAGGGTCAGTTTAAAGTCTTGGTGGGAGTAATGGGATAACATCCTTAAAACCCCACAGATTGGTAAATCCCTCTCCCTGTAGCATGGCTGTCTCAGGAATCACACGGCTATTGGCTGCTCTGTATGTTTTATGCAATGATCCGCACCAATCAATCCTGCCACTATTGTGGTAAGCAAATTGTTCAGAGGGGAACTATTCAGGATTAGCCCATCTGCATTAATTCCCACAAAACCTTCTTGGACTCCAGCAGGTCCCAAATGAAGAATGCTGAATAGAAAAGCTGCTTCCTAACTCTGCACAAAATGTTTTAAATTTTTTTGAGAGGTGCTTCCAGTGGTTCCTGAGCAAGCACAGTGCCTTGCTTTTCACTATCTGCCAACTCCCATGAGTGGAGTCAAGATCTGGGGGTGGGAGGATCCTCTGCTTCTTCAGTGCTTTTTTGCATCGTGGAAGACAAGAAAGTATGTCACATTCATCTATGTTTTCCTCATAAAAGCAGAGTTGTCTTTAATAGAGTCTAACTAATGTGACCTGCTTGAGGCAGAGAGGAAGTGAGGAGACACCAGGCACATACACCTGTATCTCAAATCCCATTTAGTCCACCTGCCGTGCTTCAGGGATGCTCTGTAAGATTCTCTTGCCTGAAGCTGCTGGTTGCTAGGTAGCAATACCTCCTCTCATCCCCTTCTTTAGTTTGTTAGGGATGTGCGTGAACAGTAGAGCTGGCCAGAAAAATTGACAAAAAGGTTTTCTGATGGAAAACACTTTGTTTTTACAAGACCCTGTCTATAGCCTGCTGGCCAGGACATTGGCCTGGGAAATTGGTGCTCTGGCCACCCGGCTACTACCGCCATGGGGAAGCCTGTCTAGAGCTAGAGCCAGGGTAAAGGTAAGGGTAAGGATCTGTCTTGCTGCTGCGTACCACCAGGCCACCGGTGATCCTCAAAGCCACGTGTTTGAAGTGTCATGGGGGGAGAGGGCAAGGTGATGGCAAAG